CGGTATGTGGAGGGGCTCTCCGCGATCCAGGCCGGCGAGGTTCCGCCTGTGATCCGCGACGAGGTCGCGCGGATGCCGAAGGAGGAGCTGCCGGGGCTGCTCGCGCGGTTGGAGGGCCGAGTGCGGCGCGGCGACTCCGTGGATGAGCTGCTGGACAAACTGGCGGAGCCGATTTTGGACGGGTTGACCGATTTCATCCGCGACCTCCTCGGCCTGGAGCCTCGAAAGGCGAAAAAGCGGGTTCGCTTTGATGAACAACCGACCGCGACCCCGGCAGACCCACCGAGGCCGGCGGAAACTGCCAAACCGCTCGATGGGGGCGAAAAGGAGCAGGTCGAGTATAATAACGCGACGCGATCGGAAAAACTCTTCGGGATCGCATTTCACAATCGCTACCTTTTTGCCCTGGATTAGATGTACAAATAGAGAGAAGGTATGGGGGGGGGAGAGTAAACAACGCATGGTTTCCTCTCGCAATGGGAAGTTCCTATGGGGTGCACTAACAATTGAGAACTTTAACACTTAAGTCTCTATGTGTGTGTGTGTGTGTACGTATTATTTCCCACGGCTTCTTTTAGAATCCATATGAAAGGCGATACGTAGTCCTGATAATGGGAACCTTTATAGTGTACAAGAATCCCGTATTCCGTGTCGCTGTAAAACTTTTTCGAATGCCGCCTATATACCCACATGGCGATTTTAATTACCATTCCTGCATATTCACATGTCTTGATCCAAAATCTTTTTGTTATTTTTCTCCTTCAAGTGTCATTCAAAGCTTCGTATCACCTTTAAACTAAGCGTATGCATGATTTACCACTTTTCCTTCATAAAGGAGCATAGTCGCAACTGGGTCGAAGGTGGTTTCATCGGAACGCCATAGCAACCGTCGGGGGAAAAAAGCGATATCGGCCTCTGTCAATGCTGCGGGCTTCCCTTCGCGTTCGCGTCCATTTATTTTCCGCCGTTGTACCCCACGCAAAGCTCTTTAATGGGGGTGCGCCCTTGACGGCGAAGGAACTTGAGGTGGCGCGAACGACGCTTGCGGAGTGGGACGACCTTCTGCACAGATCGGGTTTGAGGGATGCGGTAGGTTCCCTTCTAAACCTGGACACCCTACCCAAACGTCGGGCCCTGATTCGGGCGATGGGGGAGAGCATGGATGTCCTTCGCGGCGAGCTTTACAAAAAAACCTGCGTTGATGTCTACCAACGCGTCCAAATCCACGAGGCGATCATGGCCGCCGGGTTTTACCAACGAGCGATCGATACGAACGTATTAAAAGGTGAAAGTGTGCGGTTCGTATTAAACCATTACAACTTTGACGTGCGCCGTGATGTGATTATTACCAAGGCGGTGCATGACGCACTTTTGGCAAAAAAAGAGGTGACTTCGGGGTCTGACAAGTTAATCCGCGATATACTACTGCTAGAGCGTCGGCTTTTTGGAAAATACCGCTTCGGCTCGACCGGGGGACGTCACTGGCTTATGCTTAGTATGGCGCTCTCAGATATCAAAACAAAGGCGGAGATTGAACGACTCATGAGTTTGCCGTCTATTAAAGAGGAGGGAAACTTTAGTCTGACTGTAGATGGTGCCGAAAAGTTGTGGGAAACACTTACACTCATACCAAAGGAGGAGAGCGAAATAAGCTTTCTTGAGACGGCGGATCTTCATAAATTAGTAAACACTGCCGAATTATCATATAAACTGCGTGTGCAGAAGCCGCTCAAGCCTATTTCTTTCTCAGATCGCTTCAAAGAGGCCCTGCTCCATTACTGGGTCATATGGTTTTCGTTGTGGATAATGTTTTTCATGGTGGACGAAGAAATCATCACATTAGTGGCGTTAATTTTCATGAAACATCAGCAAACGCAACGTTTGCATGAAGAAGCCAAGAAGACGAAAGGAAAGGTTTACGTGGCATCCTCAACAGGATCTTTTGGTTAATGTTTCTTTTTCTTCAAGGATAGTTCCCCCTTAGTATTATATATACATGGTATTGATTTTCATTGTTTCACGTCTACTGGTAGTTGTATGTCTTTTATACATACTGAGAAGAACAACATATCTTGAGCTCCAGTTTTGACGTTTAAGTTAATTGAGGTAAGGAGGAAGTAAATATTCTTAGGTGTCCCTTATAAACCTATTTAAATCCTGGTCTGTTTACTCTTTATCTAAGTTTCCTACTGTTATTGTGGATTATTCCTTTGTGATAATTATGTTTTTTTTTCCCATATATAATCGGTAGTTTTTCATCATTATCACATTTAGACCTACAAAAAATACAAAATGAAATACCCATGAATACCGTAATTGTGAGGCAAATATGTTTTGATCACAGCCACAGCGCCTATACGATCCCCTCGGTTGGTGTTTGCGCTTGTCTTTTTCCTTTTCAACCTTCATCGGTAGAACTGTTGGGAAGTCTTCATCGGGCTGTATAAGCTTTTTTTTCCTGTCTTCCACCTAATATGGATTCTTCTTGACGTTGACGATCGGTTTTCCCGTGAAGAAGAAGGGTGATGGCATTTTTCAGGTCCACTTACGACCGAAGGAGTGAAGGTTCGCCATGCTCGATAATTGAGTTTGAACTAGCGCAAAATAAGCCATCTTTCTCTCTCACACACACACAGGGTAAAAGAACCACTCCGTCTATTTTTTATCTTGTATCTTTCTACAAAGTCATCTCTTTAAAATACGCTTAAACGTCTTTCAAAACTTGGAAGGGGGTGGTGCATGCCCATTACGATTTTTCAATGAAAATAACTTCATATGCCTCATCTTTATACTAACTGATCAACCTCGAAAGCAAATATTAAGCATACATGTGTATACCTATATATACATGTTTTTAAGGACATAAATAAAGACTAAATAGAACTATAGATAGCGCTAATTTTATTTATCTGTTTAATTCACATACCATAGGGTGTTCTTGTAAAAACACATTAGGCCATGTACCACACGCGACTGAAATCAGGCTCTCGTACGGGCTGGCTTTTCAATTATCACTCCACAACCGAGATCGCCGAGAGTGAAAATCGGGTTGAGGAAGAAGGTGCCAATCGGGCCGCGCTCGTCCTGCTTTTTCAGGATCATGCGGGCGATACCTTCTCGGTGTATTTGCATTATGAACCGTACCTTATGCTGCTTCCTGTCGAAGATCATGAGCGGGATGTGGAGCTGGGTTTGATGGCAAAGTTTGGTCCGCAGCTGATTCATCGTATCGAACTCGTGGAGAAGGAGGACCTGGATCTTATAAACCACCTGAGTGGGCGGAAACGTCTTTATATGAAGGTGGTCTTCCAAAACGTGCAGGACCTCACCGCTGTTCGCGGTCATCTAAGTCACATTGTCCAGCGCAATAACGCCATCGCTTCCGACAACGCGTCCTTGTGGAAGAACTTCAGTAATGTCTCGCTCGGAGAGGCGATGGCGAAGCCTTTTGCGGAGGATCTTTTCAACACCGGTGTCGATCGCTGGACGGAATGGGTGGAAGATATGCGTGAGTATGACGTTAAATACCACATGCGCGTCGCGATCGATCAGAAAGTTTATTGCGGGCTGTGGTACGACGTCAGCGTGAACGAAGGTGAGGCGAGCCTCGTGCGCTGCGATGATAGCAAGTACGCCCCTGCGATGCCGCGGGTGGTGGCTTTTGATATCGAAACTACCAAAGCCCCACTGCGGTTTCCCCAGCCGGAGGTGGATCAGATTTATATGATATCCTACATCCTGGATGGCCGTGGGTACCTCATTGTGAACCGTGAGGTCGTCACGATGGATATCCACCCATTTGAGTACACCCCGCGGCCAGAGTATGAAGGGCACTTCGAAACCTTCAACGAACCGGACGAGGTGGGTCTTCTACGTCGCTTTTTTTCGGAAATGAACACCTATCGCCCGAATGTCTATGTCACGTACAATGGGGACTATTTCGACTTCCCTTTCATTCACGCCCGCGCGCTTTTTCACCGGCTGAACATGCGAAAGGAGATCGGCTTCTCGCAAGGGGCCGACGGTGCCTTTCTGAACCAGCAAATCCCCCATTTGGACTGCTTTTATTGGGTCAAGCGCGATTCCTACCTCCCACAAGGGAGTCAGGGGCTGAAGGCCGTGACCAGGGCCAAACTCGGCTTTGACCCGATTGAGGTCGACCCGGAGGAGATGCTGCCGCTCGCGCAGACGCAGCCGCAGCGCATGGCCTCCTACTCCGTCTCGGATGCGGTGTCGACCTGGTATCTTTACCAAAAGTACATTCACCCGTTTATTTATTCCTTGGCCACCATCATCCCAATGCCCCCGGATGATGTCCTTCGCAAAGGCTCGGGGGGGCTGTGTGAGTCGCTGCTCATGGTAAAAGCGGAGGCGAATAACGTTGTATTTCCCAACAAGAAGGAAATCCAGCGGGAGCAGTTTTATGAGGGTCACCTCATCGATACCGAGACCTATATCGGTGGTCGAGTCGAGGCGCTCCGTAGCGGGGTCCATCGCGCCGATTTGCCCATCGCGTTTAATCTCAATTCTGACACCTATCAGAGCCTCATAAATGACCTGGACGACGTGCTGAAGTTCACCTTAGAGAATGAAAACCACCTGGCGGTGGCGGAGGTGACGAACATGGAGGCGGTGCGAGGGGAAATCGTCACCGCGCTCAGCCGTCTCCGCGATAACCCCAAACAGTACGAAAAGCCCGTGATTTATCATTTAGACGTCGGCGCCATGTACCCGAACGTGATCCTCACCAACCGCCTTCAGCCCTACTCCATCCCAAGCTCCGATGTCTGCGCTGGCTGCTGCTTTAACTCCCCAACTAACGAGTTCGGGTGCAAACGCGTGATGTCGTGGAAGTGGCGTGGCGAATTGTTCACCGCCGGGCGCTACGAATTTCAAAGGGTAAAGGCCCAACTCGAGAATGAGTCCTTCGCCGACGTGGCGATTCAGCAAGCAAATCTCGCCGCGGTGCAGAAGAAAACGTACGGCAACCGCAAAGGCAACGTCTTGGAGGGGACGGCGTACGAACAGCGATCCGACTGGAGACAACGCTGGGAGGGCAAGGGGGCGCAATTCAACCCGGGAGGCGGGGGGTATCGCAAGGGCACCAAACACCACCAGCGGGAGGCCGCTGAGGCCTTTCTGCCCAAGCAAACCATTTCGGGCAAATCGAAAGGCGACGCCGCAGACGCCGACAGTGACCATCCCGATAATGATTCGGATGCGGATGGTGGCGGTGGCGGTGGCCTGAAGTCGTATCAGAAACTGAGTGAAAATACGCAGTTCAGCATTCTCAAGAAGCGCATGGCTGAGTACAGCCGAAAGGCATACGGCAAAATTCACGAAACACGCGAAATTATGCGCACTAATGTGGTTTGCCAGCGTGAAAATTCTTTTTATGTGGACACTGTCCGACAATTCCGCGATCGGCGTTACGAGTACAAAGCCGCCTTGAAGACGTGGAAGAAAAAACTCGATGCCGCGAAGAGCCCGGACGAGGTGAAGCTCTGCCAGAGCCGGTGCATCCAGATGGAGTCCCTGCAGCTCGCTCACAAATGCATCTTAAACTCCTTCTACGGCTACGTGATGCGAAAAGGGAGCCGGTGGTATAGTATCGAGATGGCGGGTATTGTGACCTACTGCGGGGCATCGCTGATTCAAATGGCCCGCAGCTACATGCAGGATATTGGCATCACGCTTGAACTGGATACGGATGGAATTTGGTGCTGTCTGCCGTGCACTTTCCCGCAAAACTTCACCTTCACGACGTCGAACCCTCAGAAGCCGAAGGTCACCATCTCTTACTTGTGTGCATTATTCAACAAAATGGTCAGCGACCGCTATAGTAATGATCAATACCAGGACCTCGTGCGCCCCGGGGTGTACGAAGCGCGAAAGGAATGTTCGATTTATTTCGAGGTGGATGGTCCGTACCTTGCGATGTTGTTGCCTGCGAGTCGTGAGGAAGGGAAAAGTATCAAAAAGCGTTATGCAGTGTTTAACCCGGATGGTCAGATTGCGGAGTTGAAAGGCTTCGAGCTGAAGCGTCGCGGTGAACTAATGCTCATTAAAGACTTCCAGTCACAGGTGTTCCGCCGCTTTCTTGATGGTGATAGCTTGCAAGAGGCATATGCATCCGCGGCTGCGGTGGCCAACATCGCCCTGGACATGCTCGAAAACAAAGGCGAAGGCTACGAGGTAGAGGAAATTTTAGAAAAAATCACGGAGAGCAGCAACATGACGCGACGGCTGTCGGAGTACCCTGAGAACCAAAAATCGCTCGCCATCACAACAGCGCGTCGTATTGCGGAGCTTTTAGGGCCGCAGATGGTCAAGGACAAGGGCCTTGCCTGCCACTTCATCATCTCCCGCCTTCCTGTCGGCCGCCCCGTCACGGAGCGTGCGATTCCGCTCACGATCTTCCGCGTGGAGCCCGCGGTGCGAAAGCATTTTCTGCAGAAGTGGACCGGCGATACCTCGCTGACCTCGCAAATCAACCTCACACATTTGCTGGATTGGGACTACTACACCACGCGCTTCAACGCGTGCGTGCAGAAGATTATCACGATCCCAGCGGCGCTGCAGTCCATCCCAAACCCGGTGCCGCGCGTACTCCACCCGGACTGGCTTCAAAAGCGAATTAAACAACAAGACTCGCGCTTTCGCCAGCTTTCCCTTAGCGGGATGTTTAGCAAAAAGGGGCCTACTGAGAACCCGAAAGCGGTGCGCAGTACTAATACCCACAATGAAGAAGACGAGGGCGAAGGGGAAGCCGGCATCATAGTGGAGGATACACTTTCAGAGGCAGGACATAAGGTGACGGTGGAATTGCAAGATGTTGAGGACTTGATGGGGTGCGCAAGTGCTAAGCCCAAACCCAAACGCCCAACTCGAAAAGACGACCTCATCCTTGGCGATAGTGACTGGGAAGACGTCGATGGCGGCGGTTCGTGTATCAGTTCAGAGGATGATGCCGAGCGCATCAACCGCGAGAAAGAAGAGCTTGAGGAAGTCGCTGTTCAAACACTCAAGGAGAAGTATTTCTCACCCAAAAGCACAAAAGTAATGGACACGTCGTTTTTCACCGATTCTGGAATGCCTGTATGGCTAAAAAAACAAAAACAAGCATGGATTCACCGTGCGAAACTGCGCAAGGAACTCATGGGTCAGGGCGATGGTGCCGCAACGCAATTCTCACTCGACACGGCGCAACGAACTCGCACCGGGCATTTTATCGATCTAAGGTCGCGCGCGCTATCCAGCATGTGGAATATCCTAGAAGTACGAGAGCAGTCAGATGATCAGGATACGGTTCTGGTCCTGGCGGCCTTGGGGGGTATTATCTGTACGTTTCGCGTTCAAGTACCCCGTCGCGTGATTGTCGACATGGACCCGCGTGCGCCGGTGCTTTCCTTCGACGATGGGTCTGCTGTCGAAGTGTCCAACCGCATCTTGCCTCGGAATCGCCCTGGAGGACGGCAATACCAAGTGAATTTGCAGTCAGGTCCCACAGGTGAGAGACGACTGAATGAAATTTGCATAACGGAAGGCGTCCGACAGGTGTACGAGGCGCACATCACCCGAATGGATCATTTGATTGAAACTTTAGGATGCTGCGTTGATGTCGACACGGCGCTTTATCTCGAGAACTCCAAAACCTGTCCTCCCTCCCAACGCGACGTGTTCAGGATTGAGGAGCTAAACATGTCTAGCAGCACACAGTATCTTGACAAGCTAGTGGAACGTGTGGTTTTTGTCTTCCATGCCGCGTCGGACACGCGTGGTATAATAGCATTTGTGAACCGACTGGGCAACGCCGCGACGGTCGTCTTTGTCCAGCCTGTGGCCGCGGCACCACCTTCCTTGAATTGGACTGCCCTCCGTGAAGAGGCTGTCAAACAGCTGGGCGTGCAGGCCGAGGGTGAGCTAAACATCCACACAAAGACGGTATCGGACATGGCGAGCGCGTGGCGTGTGGTGCATCAAGCGCTCTCTGAAGCCTTAGAGGGCTCAAGCAAGGCCCCGGTGCTCGTTGCGCTCGAGAGCTCCCAAACCACCAGCCAGATTCTTCAGCAGCGGGCGTTGCCGGCGAACGTGCCATACCTGAGGCTCATGGGCGCGGCTGAGGACGAGAAGCTGTTTACGGATCCTTTTCGCTGGGCACGTTTGCTGAGCCTACGCATGCTTCAGCGGTTCTACGCGTCCAAGCTATGGGTTGAGGAGCGCGTGGCGCTGAGCCGGCTATCCGGAATCCCGGTATGTAATCTGGCGCAGGACAGTAGTGTGCATGTGCTTGATGTGCTCTACACACGCGCGCTCCATCGCCGCTCACACGTGATGTGGTGCAGCTCGGATCCCTCTATTGCCTTCGACACCATTGAGGAGCGATCGCGTGAGGTCGTTATGCCTGGTGGGTACACCTCGTGGTGCGTTGAGTTCAGCCTCTCAAGGTTGGATATGGCAGCCATTTTGTTCTCGCAGATGATACAGGAGGGTATTGATCCCGGCACACAAGCGCTGTGCGACCGAGGAGTCTCTTCTCACTTTAATATCCTCAGAGATTTAGTCGCGGATGTGCTCAGCCAGGCGGTTCAAAACAGCGTCGCGGATAACCTCTTGAGTAATGTTACTCGCTGGATTCGTGATCCTGTATCGACGTGCTATGAGCCACGCCTGGTCGAGACCCTCAACAACCTCTCCCATCGGGCGCTGACAATGGTGCTTCTGCGGCTTGCTAAGCTTGGTGGGCGCACTGTCAGGGTGGACAGTGCCTCGATTACTATCGTAACACCCAAATACTCAATACAGGAGGCCGCTAGCTTCACCCGCTTCATCACCAACTCGTTGAATGATCAGCCCATGCTAGTACTGTTGGCTCTGCAGCCGGTGCGGTACTGGTACCAATTGGTCCTGTTGAACAAACGCAACCTTGCCGGGCTCTATATAGACGCCGCGAATTCTGAGATCTTGCGTCTGCAGGATACACAATCGCCTACAGAAAAACAGCAAGCGGGCTCCCTCCTACTGCCGCATCTTAAACTCGAGCAGGTGTACACTATCCACGGCCGTCTGCCACAGAGTTTAAAGCGTCGTATTGAAGAGCGACTTCGCGGTATTTTTTGGAGCCTTGCAAATATTATGCAGCAAGTGAAGTCCGAACTCCGCAGCGACACCACTGTGGCGCTTGCTACCCGTGGCGAAGATATCCACGCCCGTTTTCTTCAGCGTTTCCAAAAGTTCTTTGAGACTGAAGTACAACCTGAGATGATCGCCGAGGTCGACACGGTGCGCGAGTCGCGAGACCTCTACACTGAGGAGGAACGCGAGGCCGCAGCCTCCAGCGCGGATGAAAGCACTGTCCTGTGGTCCAGTGAGAAGCTCGCCCTGGAGTATGCGAAGTATATCTGCTGCGTCTTGGAGCTTATCCCCTGTCGGGATGTGGTGAGCAAGATTCGTAACAACTGCTTGCGGCTATGCAATGTAAGCCCCTTCTCACCACAGGCTGTTTTAGAAGTAGATCCTCTGAGTCTGATACACATTCAAAGCATTATGTGCAGCTTTTGTAACGCTTATGTGTGTATTAACTTGTGCGGGAAGCCTAGAACTGGCGTTATTACATGCCCGCGATGTCATACACCCATCGCGGCTGCTGGGTTAGAGGCAAGGCTTGTTAGGGAAGTGAACCAAATGCTGATGCAGTACGTACATCAAGATTTTGTCTGTTCCAGGTGTAAAGAAATGGCGACAACATACCTTTGCGACAATTGTTGTGGTCCTTTTGTTGGAAAGGAGAGGTCTATCCTGAATTACCTCAAAGCGCTTAAGGTAATTGCAAGTTTACGCGGATTTTCTCTTCTAGATGAAGTTCTGGATGCTGCCATAATGGTCATTTAGGCCTTACACATGTGGGTACTGTTGACATGTGGAATTGCCCTTACAGAGTCCTTCATAGAAAACCATACTATAATGCACGAGATAGAGAGGATAGAATAAAGCACAAACAAAAAGTTACTACTGTTTCATTTATTTCACTTTATTTTGCTTGTTTATTTGGTTCATAAATCCTTTAAACAACGAAAATGGAATAAAATGGAAATATTTCCGCCTTGGTGAGGCGATTTTCATCTCTAATGTTACTGTAAATACCCTGGATCACCCTTCCCGACTCTATAGTTGCTGTTACGAATTAATTCTTTTTATACTCCTTACAATTGTATCTCTTTCCTATGGATGACTGTATAGTTCTAAAGTAAGCTTCAGGTAGGTGTCTGACCTATGCCGTGAAACTACTTGTCACGCACATTAAGCATAAGAGGGAAAATAAAAATACAATACCTCAATCCATGTTCAAATCAACGTTAACATTATGTCTTCGACCACGTCACATTATGTACACACCTCCACCACTTGCCAAACGGACAGGTTTGTTTCGCTGCAAGATCTGTAAAAATGAGTGGAACTCTAACTCCGTGTGGGTAACTAAAACCACCCAGCGCGTATACCAAGGTGAATCGTGTGAACAGTGCGGAACGAGTGCCAAACCATACTATGTGGGGAGGCCGGTGGAAACGATATTTAACCGAGCTAGAACCCCACACCCAGTGAAGCCGGGGTCATCTAGTAGTCGCCATGAAAAAAAACTAAAGCATTTACGCTTTGACTGGCGAACACAGAGAGGAAGAAAATAAACTCCACGAAGAAATATCTGTTAAGGTTTTGGAAAAAGGCCCAATATGGAGAATAAAAGTTCAAACTTCTTCATAAGATGCTTTTTCTGAATTAGCTTGTATGAAGGTGCCCTTTTTTTTTACGGTGCATGCTAACGTTTACTATAAATATATATATATCATATGCTTCTACTCCCACTCTCCTCTGATATTGATAGATTTCTAAGTAATAATACTAAATTAATATAATCACAAAAAGAAAACTTTTATGCCAGCTATGAGTTCTCTTCGTCTTCCAAAAAACGAGCTCGACGCTCATATATTGCTCTACTTACAGAGCTCAAAGTACAACAATGCTGCGGAAGCACTGAAGGAGGCCAATCCTTCCGCTGTGACAGTCGCTAAAACGATCGGCGTCTCAGCCCTTACTGCAATCAAGAACAACTATGCGGATGATTCAAGCTCAGACGATGACGAGCCGGTGCGCAAGCAGCCCCCTAAGAAGCCCTCTCCCAAGGCTTCCCCACGTGTTGCACCCAAGAAGGCCCCTGTCTCGGATTCCAGCTCAGACGACGAGCCGGTGCGCAAGCAGCCTCCTAAGAAGCCTTCTCCCAAGAAGCCCCCTGTCCCAGATTCCAGCTCG